ACTAGTTTGGGGGCACGTGGGTAGTAGCTCAGCCAGTTAGGCGTCTGACTCTTGATCTCAGCTCAGGTCTTGATCTCAAGGTCGTGAGTTCAGGCCCTGTGTTGCGCTCCACGCTGGGATTTGAGCCTACTTAAAAATAATAATAGGGGCGCCTGAGTGGCTCAGTTGGTTGGGCACCCGACTTCTACTCAGGTCATGATCTCACGGTTCCAGCCCCACACTGGGCTCTCCGGTGTCATCTCGGAGTCAGCTCAGAGCTTACTTTGGATCCTCTGTCCCCCTCTCTTTCCGTGCCTCCCCCACTTGGGCTTTCTCTCTTGAAAATAAATAAACATTTTTAAAAAATCAATTACATCCCTGGGGCACCTGGGTGGCTCAGTCGGTTGAGCTTCCGACTTCTGCTCAGGTCATGATCTCACAGTCTGTGAGTTCGAGCCCTGCATCGGGCTCTGTGCTGACAGCTCGGAGCCTGGAGCCTGCTTCAGAGTCTGTGTCTTCCTCTCTCTCTGCTCCTCCCCCGTTCATGCTCTGTCTCTCTCTGTCTCAAAAATTAACATTTAAAAAAAATCAGTTATGGGGCGCCTGGGTGGCGCAGTCGGTTGAGCGTCCGACTTCAGCCAGGTCACGATCTCGCGGTCTGGGAGTTCGAGCCCCGCGTCAGGCTCTGGGCTGATGGCTCAGAGCCTGGAGCCTGTTTCCGATTCTGTGTCTCCCTCTCTCTCTGCCCCTCCCCCATTCATGCTCTGTCTCTCTCTGTCCCAAAAATAAATAAACGTTGAAAAAAAAATTTTTATAAAAAAAATCAGTTATATCCCTAAACACTTAGAACAAAAAAATTAAATGAAATTCATAAAAATATGATTCACATTGGCATAAAAAATAAAATACCTAGAAATGAATCTAGCAAAAGATTTGTTAGGTCTCTTAACAGAAAACTATGAAACATTATGGAAACCGATTGAAGAAAATCTAAATAAATAATTCATAACAACAGAACTCATCATAATTGCCACAAACCAGGAACAACCCACCAAGAGTGAAATGGTTAGGGGTGCCTGAGTGGCTCAGTCGATTGAGCCTAACTCCTGGAGTCATGACCTCATGGTTTGTGGGGTCAAGCCCCGTGTCAGGCTCTGCACTGACAACATGGAGACTGCTTGGAATTCTCTCTCTCTCTCTCTCTCTCTCTCTCTCTCTTTCTCTCTCTCCTTCTCAAAATAAATAAATGGACATTTTAAAAAAAGAGTGAAATGTTTAAATTGTGGCATATTCATCCATGGAAAATTATACCACAGTGAAAAGAAAGGGCCATGTTATGATTTTCATAATCATAATGTTCAGCAAAAGAAGCCATAATCAAAAGTGGTTACCTTTGGAAAGGAATGACTAAAAGTAAGTGTGAATAAGGTTTTTGGGTTGCGGGCAATACTCCCATTTTTTAACATATTATATGGGTGTTTTCATTAATGTATTTACTCTATACAGATTTAACTGAGCTATAACTTAATGTTTAACACTTTATATATGTTACAGCGACACTATAATTTAAAAAAAAATTTTTAGGTTTTACAAAATTACCCAGGCCTCTGGGGAGCCTGGGTGGCTCAGTCAGTCGAGTGTCTGACTTCAGCTCAGGTCATGATGCTGTGGTTTGTGAGTTCGAGCCCCGCATGGGGCTCTGTCCTGACAGCGTGGAGCTGGAGCCTGCTTCAGATTCTGTGCCTCCCACTCTCTCTGCCCCTTCCCTGCTCTCTCTCTCTCTCTCTCTCAAAATTAAATAAACATTAAGAAAAAATAAAAACAAACAAAATTACCCAGGCTTCAAAAAAGGAAAGAAGGGAGAGAGGGAGGGAGGGAGGAACGTGAAATACTGAAGAAATAAACAGAAAGAATGAAATTATGCTAATAAAGCTAAGGAGTCCACCACCTGACAGCCTGTGCTAAGAAAACACCTGGGAAACATTCTTAATTGAACTCTCAAGACCCCCCTGAGGTGGATATTATTTATTCCCATTTTAGAGAAGCTGAGGTTCAGAGAGGTGAAGTCACTTGCCAAAGTCACACAGCAGTGGCCCTGGCTTTGTCTGATTCCATATCTCACATTTGGAATCATTCATCACATCACACCTCAAACAGGTTCTTTCCCAGGCCTTCTGACAGGTTACCATGTAATAAACATAATAATAGTTAACACGGAATACCGCCTTAAGACCTCAAGGTAACAAAAGAAGCAATTATTACCTCCGTTTCTGGGAGGAAACCTGAGGCTCAGAGAGAGCCAGCCATTGTGCCAAGATCACAGCTAGGAAGGGATGGAGCCAAAATTCAAACCCGAGCATGTCTGACTCCAGGCCCATAGCCTTGTCATCAACCCAACACTGCCCAGTAGTTAAGAGGCATGGATTCTGTCCACTCATTCACTCATTTATTCAACACTTTTTTTTTTTTTTAATCACTCACACTGGGTCAGCCACGTTCTAGCCCCCAAACAGCCTCCTACTGCATATAGCTCACGTTCCAGTGGGGGTGACACTACACAAATCTACAATATGTCAGGTCGTGAGATAGGGACCTCTAACGGTGGTTAGTGAGATGAGGGCCTAATGGAGGCAGCGTGGCAGGGAAAGGTCGCTCTGAGAAATGAATGATGGTGGGGTGAACCGGAGGATGCAAAAGAATCCCTTTCCTGTGTCTCCGCTAGCAGAAAGGAGGAGTGGGTGGGGCATCTTTGTCCCAAATCCCCATTCCTGGGAGCCAATTTTGGATGTAATTCTCTTCTCTCTAGCCGGAAAGGCTGAGAATACTTTTTCCCACTCCCCCCTATAGGGAATGAATGAAACTGTTTGAGGAACAGTCTTTCAGGGATCTGTTAATACATCGTGACTAGAGCCACAAAGGGCGCGGCAGTGGTGAGGCAAGACGGGGTAGGAACATCATTGTGACGGCGATGGGCAGCCTTGCACGGAAGAGAGGGCAAAAAGGGCGTGACTTAGTAGCTGATGAAAAGTGGGGGGTGGACAAGGGGTCCCTCAATCCAACTGGCCCATGGCACCCAAGCTTGAGGCCGGAGAGAGGACCCCAACGTAGGGGACGCAGGCACCCCTCGCTTCCGCTGCCTGCCATCCTCCCTCCAGCTTTGGCCGTCCCGGCCGATACGCGTGCACCCGCTCGGCCAGGCTGGGTGCGCGCCCGGACAGTCCTGCGCATGCGCGGCGTCCCGGGTGCAGGTAACCGACAAGAGCGAGCCTTCCCCCGGTGTGCGCCTGCGTGGTGGGGAGGCGCCCAGGTGGGGCGGGGCTTAGGCGCCGCGCGCGCCCTCGGTCTCGCCCCAACGTTTTTCTGGCGGGAACGGCGCACGTGTACCTTCTTCCCAAGCAACTGCTGTTGGTAGGTCGTGGGCCCCGGCTGTGTCCTGAGAGTGGGACGTGGGCTCAGGGACGCCCGGGATGTGGTGGGGTTCCCCAGAGAAGCCCTGCCAGAGCCCCCCAAATCCTAGGGCACAGTCCCCAATATCAAGGCCTTCCAAACCTTGTTAAAAGTTTTCGTGAAATCCTGATCAAAACCCCTCAGAAATACTGAGAAGGACTCCTAGGAAATGTGATAGATGACCCCTGAAATCTTGTCAGAATCTTCTAGAAATTCTGCCAGACTTCTCCCTCAGACCCTGCCAGACTACCCCGCAAAAATCCTGTTACGCTCCCTTCCCAAATCAGAGAACCCCCACCC